GTAGGGTACACGTTAGTGTTAGATGGGGGGGGGGGAGTAGGGTACACGTTAGTGTTAGATGGGGGGATGGGGAGGGGAGTAGGGTACACGTTAGTGTTAGATGGGGGGGGGGGTAGGGTACACGTTAGTGTTAGATGGGGGGGGAGTAGGGTACACGTTAGTGTTAGATGGGGGGATGGGGAGGGGAGTAGGGTACACGTTAGTGTTAGATGGGGGGGGGGGGTAGGGTACACGTTAGTGTTAGATGGGGGGGGGGAGTAGGGTACACGTTAGTGTTAGATGGAGGGGGGTAGGGTACACGTTAGTGTTAGATGGGGGGGGGTAGGGTACACGTTAGTGTTAGATGGGGGTGGGGGGGTAGGGGAGTAGGGTACACGTTAGTGTTAGATGGGGGAGCGGAGGGGAGTAGGGTACACGTTAGTGTTAGATGGGGGGGGGGAGTAGGGTACACGTTAGTGTTAGATGGAGGGGGGTAGGGTACACGTTAGTGTTAGATGGAGGGGGGTAGGGTACACGTTAGTGTTAGATGGGGGGGGGGGGGAGTAGGGTACACGTTAGTGTTAGATGGAGGGGGGTAGGGTACACGTTAGTATTAGATGGGGGGGGGGGGAGTAGGGTACACGTTAGTGTTAGATGGGGGGTAGGGTACACGTAAGTTAGATGGGGGGTGGGGGTGGGAGTAGGGTACACGTTGGTGTTAGATTTGGGGGTAGGGTACACGTTAGTTAGATGGGGGGGAGTAGGGTACATGTAAGATGGTATAGGGGTGAGTACAGTACCCGCCGCCTGAGTGACTACACGTTAGCGGGCAGGGGTGGGTGTGAATAATGCTACTAGATCGCATTGCCAATTTGGCCTACAGCAGGCCCGCACATTTGTCAAGCAGCCGGGAAAAACTCGGCTATTACTGATCTCAAGGGAGCAGCACGGCTATGGGCTGGGGAGGGATGCGAAAGGTTAGAGGTTATCGATGGCAGGCGGACTTGTTTTGGGTCTGGACACGCCAACTGTTGCTGATTGGTTGGCTAGCGGGGCACGTCTAGTAGCTTTAACATCACTAGCTGGGGCACTTCTAGTAGCTTTAACATCACTAGCTGGGGCACGTCTAGTAGCTTTAACATCACTAGCTGGGGCACGTCTAGTAACTTTAACATCACTAGCTAGGGCACGTCTAGTAGCTTTAACATCACTAGCTAGGGCACGTCTAGTAGCTTTAACATCACTAGCTGGGGCACTTTTAACATCACTAGCTGGGGCACGTCTAGTACCTTTAACATCACTAGCTGGGGCACTAGCCTACTAGTGATGTTAAAGCTACTAGACGTGCCCCAGCTAGTGATGTTAAAGCTACTAGACGTGCCCCAGCTAGTGATGTTAAAGCTACTAGACGTGCCCCAGCTAGTGATGTTAAAACTACTAGACGTGCCCCAGCTAGTGATGTTAAAATTGCCCTAGCTAGTGATGTTAAAGGTACTAGACGTGCCCAGCTAGTGATGTTAAAGCTACTAGACGTGCCCCAGCTAGTGATGTTAAAGCTACTAGACGTGCCTCAGCTAATGATGTTAAAGCTACTAGACGTGCCCTAGCTAATGATGTTAAAGCTACTAGACGTGCCCCAGCTAGTGATGTTAAAGCTACTAGACGTGCCCCAGCTAGTGATGTTAAAGCTACTAGACGTGCCCCAGCTACTGATGTTAAAGCTACTAGACGTGCCCCAGCTAGTGATGTTAAAACTACTAGACGTGCCTCAGCTAGTAATGTTAAAAGTGCCCCAGCTAGTGATGTTAAAGGTACTAGACGTGCCCCAGCTAGTGATGTTAAAAGTGCCCCAGCTAGTGATGTTAAAGGTACTAGACGTGCCCCAGCTAGTGATGTTAAAGCTACTAGACGTGCCCCAGCTAGTGATGTTAAAATTGCCCTAGCTAGTGATGTTAAAGGTACTAGACGTGCCCAGCTAGTGATGTTAAAGCTACTAGACGTGCCCCAGCTAGTGATGTTAAAGCTACTAGACGTGCCTCAGCTAATGATGTTAAAGCTACTAGACGTGCCCTAGCTAATGATGTTAAAGCTACTAGACGTGCCCCAGCTAGTGATGTTAAAGCTACTAGACGTGCCTCAGCTAATGATGTTAAAGCTACTAGACGTGCCCCAGCTAATGATGTTAAAGCTACTAGACGTGCCCCAGCTAGTGATGTTAAAGCTACTAGACGTGCCCCAGCTAGTGATGTTAAAGCTACTAGACGTGCCCCAGCTAGTGATGTTAAAGCTACTAGACGTGCCCCATCACTAGCTGGGGTAATTTTAACGGTGAACGGAAAAAAAGTCACAGGAAAAAAAACACAGAAAAAAAGTCACAGTTTTTGCTAGGAAAAAAAGTCACAGAAAAAAAGTCACAGTGGAAAAGTTTTATCGGAAAAAAAGTCACAGAAATAAAGTCACAGAAAAAAGTCACAAAAATGTTTTTAGAAATATTTTTATTTATTTGTTAAGAATTGTAAAATTTTGTATGTTTATTGTTGTGGGTTGTATTTTAATAGCATAAATTATTTATAGACGTTTAAAGCATTATGATTTATAACAATTGTAAGTAAAAATACTCTAAGATAATTAACACAACAATCTCAACTTTTGTTACGTATTTAGTTAAATACGCGGTAGAAAAGTTAATTATAAAAGAAATTTAGGCACATTTTGCCGTAGGCTATTCTCTGGTCGGCCTCTCCTCAGTAGGCATTGTCCGAACATATTTTGTGTTGTTGACGTTATGCGTCAATGACAGCCTTTGAACCTTGTCGGCTTTCTGTTTTGATCCCAAGTTTTGTTATGTAATGAGCGTGATAAATGTGGGCAGTAAAGGCGGTTGAACTAAACATAACTATTGTTGCCATGAGTTGAGGGCAGCAAGTCAGATGAACTTACCACTTCTCGGTAATTTAATATTGTTATTTTTTAAAAAAAAAAGGTGAAAACCTTGGACTTTGGAGCATTCTATTAAATGCTACAAATCTTAAGTTTAACATAATTACAATCTACATACTTCATAATAAATATTTTTAGATGAATTATAAAAATTCCTATGCGTACACAGCCTACACACATTACATTACATTTAATTAATCCTAAGTTAATTTGCACTCTCTAAATATTTAATACATAAAAGTATTAACAAATATCATGCAAATATATATTTGTGACTTTTTTTTCTGTGTTTTTTACTTTCTCGTATATACGAAGTATAGAGAAAGTATTGTAATCGTGCACAAAAATCACTTGAAATTTTAACAATTTTCACCGTATTACATCTCAGTCCTTCATCACATCCGAAGTATAGAGGACTTATTTTAATCGGGCAAAAATTATCAATCCAGATTTATCAAAATTAAGAGGTTTTATGCGTAATCCAGTCTGAAAAACTGGGCTTTGCAATTCTGTCCGTATGTCTGTGTGTCTGTGTGTGTGTGTGTGTGTGTGTCCGTGTGTAAACACGATAACTTGAGTACCGTTACAGCTAGGTTGATGAAATTTCATATATAAGTATTTTATCAAAATCGTAGATCCGTATCAACTTTTGAGCGATTTTCGATAACCGGAAGTGGTACTTCTTCTACTTTGAATTTTTCAAAAGCCTATAACTTGAGTACTATTTCAGATAGATAAATGAAATTTTACATGTGAGTAAAAGATCTAATTTTCTACCTTCTGATAAATTTTGAGTAATTTCCGTTGACTGGATGTAGTAATTTACTCTACTTCCGATTTCTCAAAAAACTAATGTAAATTTTTAAAGTAGTAATAATATTGCGCACTATTATGCATTTTTTTATTTGGCGTTCACTTGGTGTGCAATTCTTTTGTCTACGAGATTTTATTCTATTTTTAAAACTTTAAGTATTTTAAATGGATTAAAAATCATGTCTATAGCCCGAGTTCCCATCCCCTGTTATTTTATATAAAAACGAGCCGGCCCGCGGCATAACATACGCCGCTATTTAGTTGTTGTTTTTTCTACTTTTCAGAAATTCATAATTTGTGAATTCGACAGTACCAACGCTGACACTGAAAATATTTCTTTAAAACACTATAAGTAGCTCGTAAAGGACCATAACCCCCCCCCTCCCCCTTTCCTTTCCCCCCCCCCCCCCCAACGTTTAAAATCGTTTCAAACTAAATTATCTGCCCCTAATAGCCGTCACTAAACCCGACTCCACGAAGGTAAACATAGCGTGAACCACAGCTCACTAAGACCATGTAGGGGTGGGGATGGTAGGGAGCGCGTTTACAGCTTGTTTTCTAGCGTCTCCCAGAAGAGAATTATATATATAGATATTCGAGAAAGTTTAGGGGAGATCACTCCCGGTTTATTTTTCCTGTGTTTTTTTTCCTGTGACTTTTTTCCTACAATCAATTTTAACATCACTAGCTGGGGTAATTTTAACATCACTAGCTGGGGCACCTCTAGCACCTTTAACATCCCTAACAGTGGTAACTTAAGGGGCTTGAAGCATAAACCAGTTACTGACAGAAACCCAGTGTTAAAATAGACTAAAGCAAACATTGGATGCCAGTGTTCTATGATGATGACATTGTTGTATGATGATGCCAATGTTGTATGATGATGACAGTGTTGTATGATGATGACAGTGTTGTATGATGATGACAGTGTTGTATGATGATGACATTGTTGTATGATGATGACATTGTTGTATGATGATGACAGTGTTGTATGATGATGACAGTGTTGTATGATGATGACAGTATTGTATGATGATGACAGTATTGTATGATGATGACAGTGTTGTATGATATGATGATGAAAGTGTTGTATGATGATGACAGTGTTGTATGATGATGACAGTGTTGTATGGTGATGACAGTGTTGTATGATCATGTCAGTGTTGTATGATGATGACAGTGTTGTATGATGATGACAGTCTTGTATGATGATGACAGTGTTGTATGATGATGACAGTGTTGTATGATGATGATAAAGTTGACATTACCTTGCTGGTGGCTGTTGCATGATGTGTCCCAGTGACTGGGTTGTTGGTCACCTGGACTGTCAGATAATCATTGTTGACCAGAGGCCAAGCACCTTTAATTTTACAAGTCTGAAATTCCTTAGAGAAAGTCCTGAGATGGGGGTCACCAAAGAGGCCACAGTGGCGTACAACAGTCTTGCCCTGGTAGAGACATATAGCAGGGATGATGGACGGCCTAGGCTTGGATGTGTACACTGTCTGACCATTGGTGGTGCAGTTGATCTCCTCCATCTGTCTGAGCACGATGTTGCGGGCCGTATAGTACATCAGCTCCCCCTGGCAGCCCACGATCTTGGTGATGCAGTTTTGGTAGGTCCTCAGAGCCGTGCACACAGCAACACTGTCATGTGGCCCATGGCCACTTATCCCCAGCTCTTGTTTGGCCACCTCGAACTGATCTGAACAGCGGGCCACAACACAGCCTTCACCTTTGGTGTGGAGAAAACCCTCAACTATTGGAAGAAAAAAATTTGATGACATCTAGCAACCCTCAACTATTGGAAGAAAAAAATTGATGACATCTAGCCACAGAAAACCCTCAACTATTGGAAGAAAAAAATTTGATGACATCTAACAACCCTCAACTATTGGAAGAAAAAAATTTGATGACACTAGCCACAGAAAACCCTCTATTGGAAGAAAAAAATTTGATGACATCTAGCAACCCTCAACTATTGGAAGAAAAAAATTGATGACATCTAGCCACAGAAAACCCTCAACTATTGGAAGAAAAAAATTTGATGACATCTAGCAACCCTCAAATATTGGAAGAAAAAAATTGATGACATCTAGCCACAGAAAACCCTCAACTATTGGAAGAAAAAAATTTGATGACATCTAACCACACAGACTAAATGGCTACTCTACTTGCCACACATACACTAAATTTTAAAATCTTTGATTGTAAGGGTGTAGACATTTAAAAATATATTTCTACTTTTTTTGGATTACTTTGGTAATTCAATTCAATGGACACTCCACACTACTATTGTGATATATATATATATATATATATATATATATATATATATATATATATATATATATATATATGTATATATATATATATATGTATATATATATATATATATATATATATATATATATATATATATATATATATATATATATATATATATATATATATATATATATATATATATATATATATATATATATATATATATACATATATGTATGGGGGCTGGGAGAAGAGAAATTTGACATTCTAGAGGCCGGATGTCCAACTTTGTATGAAGGCCATATCCACACAAGGGGCAATATATGGAAAATATAATCCAGCCAAGCTCTAAACAAGAGGTAGATATAAATAGATCTAGGACTATATATAGGCTGATAAATCAAAAGAATATATTATTCAGGCCAACAGTTCAGCTATTTGTCTCCCAGAGGCTACTGTCTATACATTGTAATAGACATATACAAATAGTAGAACAATAGAATTAAGAATAGGCCCACAAAGACTAAATAGCAGGTCTATAGAATTAAGAATATGCAAACTAAGACTAAATGTCAAGAAATACACTAGGAAAGACAAACAGATATATAGAGAAATGCCGGCAAGTGAAGCCAAAGAAGCACTACCATAGGAGTACTAGGGATGTGTACAATACAATTAAGAAGATATCTGGGAAGTACAGCAAGCCAGAGAGGCCAGTGAAGACCAAAGATGGAAAGATAATACTAGATGCTGATAATACTAGATGCTGATAATACTAGATGGAAAGATAATACTAGATGCTGATAATACTAGATGGAAAGATAATACTAGATGCTGATAATACTAGATGGAAAGATAATACTAGATGCTGATAATACTAGATGCTGATAATACTAGATGCTGATAATACTAGATGGAAAGATAATACTAGATGCTGATAATACTAGATGGAAAGATAATACTAGATGCTGATAATACTAGATGGAAAGATAATACTAGATGCTGATAATACTAGATGCTGATAATACTAGATGGAAAGATAATACTAGATGCTGATAATACTAGATGCTGATAATACTAGATGGAAAGATAATACTAGATGCTGATAATACTAGATGGAAAGATAATACTAGATGGAAAGATAATACTAGATGCTGATAATACTAGATGCTGATAATACTAGATGGAAAGATAACACTAGATGCTGATAATACTAGATGCTGATAATACTAGATGCTGATAATACTAGATGCTGATAATACTAGATGCTGATAATACTAGATGCTGATAATACTAGATGCTGATAATACTAGATACTGATAATACTAGATGCTGAAGGACAGAGGAGGAGATGGGCAGAACATTTTGAAGAACTGCTGAATAGTCCAACACCAGGGTGCATGCAAGATATACCAACAGCTGTAACCCACCTTCAAAAGAAGAGATACATAAAGCAGCTAAAAACTTGGAAGGTTCCAGAAATAGATGGTACACTGACAGCAGCACTGACAGCAGCACTGACAGCAGCACTGACAGCAGCACTGACAGCAGCACTGACAGCAGATATAGAAACTAGCACCGCACTGGTACATACACACCTCAAGAAAATCTGGGAAGATGAACAAATACCAGAGGCACTGGTACATACACACCTCAAGAAAATCTGGGAAGATGAACAAATACCAGAGGCACTGGTACATACACACCTCAAGAAAATCTGGGAAGATGAACAAATACCAGAGGCACTGGTACATACACACCTCAAGAAAATCTGGGAAGATGAACAAATACCAGAGGCACTGGTACATACACACCTCAAGAAAATCTGGGAAGATGAACAAATACCAGAGGCACTGGTACATACACACCTCAAGAAAATCTGGGAAGATGAACAAATACCAGAGGAGTGGAAGGAGGGACTGCTTGTAAAACTTCCGCAGCAAGGCAATCTTAGTTCATGCTCTAACAATAGAGGAATAACACTTTTGTCCATCCAATGCAGTCTTCAACAGAATATTATTAAACAGGATGACGGAAGCAATAGACTCCCAACCTTGAGATAAACAGCCTGGCTTTAGGAAGGAATGATCATGCTACCCTGAGCATCATCATTGAACAGATGAGTGGAATTCAAATCTCTACATTTATTTCATAGATGACAACAAGAAGGCCTGAAATGGCCAACAGACTAGAGAGGCCTCCCCTGTACAGACTGGAGTTGCCTCCCCTGTACAGACTAGAGAGACCTCCCCTGTACAGACTGGAGTTGCCTCCCCTGTACAGACTAGAGAGACCTCCCCTGTACAGACTGGAGTTGCCTCCCCTGTACAGACTGGAGTTGCCTCCCCTGTACAGACTGGAGTTGCCTCCCCTGTACAGACTAGAGAGACCTCCCCTGTACAGACTAGAGAGACCTCCCCTGTACAGACTAGAGAGACCTCCCCTGTACAGACTAGAGAGACCTCCCCTGTACAGACTAGAGAGACCTCCCCTGTACAGACTAGAGAGACCTCCCCTGTACAGACTAGAGAGACCTCCCCTGTACAGACTAGAGAGACCTCCCCTGTACAGACTGGAGTTGCCTCCCCTGTACAGACTGGAGTTGCCTACTGTCACATTCCTGTTCCTGCTGGCCATTGACTATATTATGAAAATGTCAACAGAGAAAAAGTGAACCAGTGGACTATCTAAAACCAGCTGGATGACCTAGACTTTGCTGATGACCTAGACTTTGCTGATGACCTAGACTTTGCTGATGACCTAGACTTTGCTGATGACCTAGACTTTGCTGATGACCTAGACTTTGCTGATGACCTAGACTTTGCTGATGACCTAGACTTTGCTGATGACCTTTGCTGATGGCAGAAGAAGTGGATAGATTCACCTAATCTAAAGTATTGTTGATAACATTGGCAGAAGTCAGAAGAAGTGGATAGATTCACCTAACCTAAAGTATTGTTGATAACATTGGCAGAAGAAGTGGATAGATTCACCTAACCTAAAGTATTGTTGATAACAATGGCAGAAGAAGTGGATAGATTCACCTAACCTAAAGTATTGTTGATAACATTGGCAGAAGAAGTGGATAGATTCACCTAACCTAAAGTATTGTTGATAACATTGGCAGAAGAAGTGGATAGATTCACCTAACCTAAAGTATTGTTGATAACATTGGCAGAAGAAGTGGATAGATTCACCTAACCTAAAGTATTGTTGATAACATTGGCAGAAGAAGTGGATAGATTCACCTAATCTAAAGTATTGTTGATAACATTGGCAGAAGTCAGAAGAAGTGGATAGTTTCACCTAATCTAAAGTATTGTTGATAACATTGGCAGAAGAAGTGGATAGTTTCACCTATTCTAAAGTATTGTTGATAACATTGGCAGAAGAAGTGGATAGATTCACCTAACCTAAAGTATTGTTGATAACATTGGCAGAAGAAGTGGATAGATTCACCTAACCTAAAGTATTGTTTATAACATTGGCAGAAGAAGTGGATAGATTAACCTAACCTAAAGTATTGTTGATAACATTGGCAGAAGAAGTGGATAGATTCACCTAACCTAAAGTATTGTTGATAACATTGGCAGAAGAAGTGGATAGATTCACCTAACCTAAAGTATTGTTGATAACATTGGCAGAAGAAGTGGATAGATTCACCTAACCTAAAGTATTGTTGATAACATTGGCAGAAGAAGTGGATAGATTCACCTAACCTAAAGTATTGTTGATAACATTGGCAGAAGAAGTGGATAGATTCACCTAACCTAAAGTATTGTTGATAACATTGGCAGAAGTCAGAAGAAGTGGATAGATTCACCTAACCTGGACATATTGGTGAACAGCAGGGTGGGACAGAAGCAGACATAAAAACAAGGACTGGCAAGGGAAGAGCAGTCTTCAACCAACTAAAAAATGTTTAGGGTTCTAGAGATTTAACTGTTGAAATAAAAATCCAATTATTATTAATAATAATATGTAATTCATAATGTATTTCTTTATTCCAAATTTTAAAATAAACGATGTTACTGCTTTGTCTATTGTACTTAATAGCTTTTATTTTTTTAAAAATTGTATTAAAAAAAGTCCTACTTGCCTACTTTTATTACCGTTATTAAAAATTAAGTTATTATTATTATTATTATTATTATTATTATTACTCTATGGAGCTGAGACATGGAGAATAACTGCCACAAATAAGAAAATACAATCATTTATAAACTAATGCATAAGATAGATCCTTCAAAAACCTAACACCATCAGAAATAAGGCACTATGGCAACTGCCAGCTGAAGAAGAGATCCTCCAAAGAAAATGGAGATGGATTGGCCACACACCCAGGAAGCTGTATCTGAAAAGCCCTCACCTAGAATCCACAAGGAAAAGGAAACAAGGCCACCCAATACTGAAGACGTGACCTGGAAGAAGACACCAAGAAGATTGGATACACCTGGGGACAGTTGGAGAGACTAGCCCAGGACAGGATACACCTGGGGACAGTTGGAGAGACTAGCCCAGAACAGAGATGCCTGACATTAAGAAGATTGGATACACCTGGGGACAGTTGGAGAGACTAGCCCAGGACAGGATACACCTGGGGACAGTTGGAGAGACTAACCCAGGACAGAGATGCCTGGAAAGCTCTTGTCAGTGGCCTATGTCCCAGGAGGGGCTACAGGATAACTTAACTTTGACACAAAGACTAAATATTAGGTCTACAGTATTAAGAATAGAGCCCACAAAGACTAAATAATATTATAAGGCCTATAGTATTAAGAATAGGCCCACTAGACTAAAAAGTAGGCCTATAGAATAAAGAATGGCCACACAATGATTAAATAGTAGGCTTATAGGATTAAGTTAATTAAATTAAGAATGAGCCCACAAAGACTATAAATAGCATCTTGTAGTTAATTAGTAGACCTAATTAACTGGAATAATAATAAAGTAGATCTATAAAGTAGACTAATAAAATAAAATAATTGAAATAATAATAAAGTAGATCTAGGCCTATAATCATTTATAATTTTATAATGTAATCTAAAAAAATAATTTAATAAAATAATTGGAATAATAATAAAGTAGTTCTATAAAGTAGACTAATAAAATAAAATAGGCTTGGACTTAGATTTTAAAGTATAAAGTCAGGTTTAGACTTAGACTAAATATATACAGGCCTAGACCAACTTTAACTACTATAAGTTAAGTATGGCCTTAGCGTTAAGTAATAAGAAGGTAGCCCTATGCCTATAGCCGGGCCTAATCCCCCTTTTATATCTTTATTAATTAGACGAATAAGTAGCTTAATTGTCTGTGTTGGGCCCTAGATCTATATTTATTTGAAAACCTTAAGAACCTGAACTCCTAGATCTATAGAGACTATAACCTAATCAAATAAGTTTAGGCCTAATCTTTTACTTTAATAAATAAAAGTTTACTATTTAGGCTAGGACTACTAAGTTTAAATAAGTGTAAATGTTTAAAGCCTAAGGCTAATATTATAAAGCCTAATAGGCCTAGATGTGACAAAAATAACATAAGGCCTATACTAGTATACTATAGTCTAGTAGGCCTACTTTATACTTTATAGTTATATAGTAGTTTCTACTTTATGCCTATGTTATTGTTTTCTAGATCTAGATCTAGATATCTAGATCTATCTAATCAAAAGTGGTATGTACTATGACTAAGACTAAATTTAGTTTTAACAGCACAACACTATAGAATATAGTCTAGATCTAGATTAACTAGTAACTAGAATCTGGAAGAATACACCAAACTTATAATGATGAATAGGACAAACTGATACATGAATGAAGCAACAAAGTGACACATGAATGAAGCAACAAAGTGACACATTCACATGAATGAAGCAACAAACTGATACATGAATGAAGCAACAAAGTGACAAATTCACATGAATGAAGGAACAAACTGACACATTCACATGAATGAAGCAACAAAGTGACACATGAATGAAGCAACAAAGTGACACATTCACATGAATGAAGCAACAAAGTGACACATTCACATGAATGAAGCAACAAACTGATACATGAATGAAGCAACAAAGTGACACATTAATGTAGCAACAAAGTGACACATGAATGAAGCAACAAAGTGACACATTCACATGAATGAAGCAACAAAGTGACACATGAATGAAGCAACAAAGTGACACATGAATGAAGCAACAAAGTGACACATGAATGAAGCAACAAAGTGACACATTCACATGAATGAAGCAACAAAGTGACAAATTCACATGAATGAAGCAACAAAGTGACACATGAATGAAGCAACAAAGTGACACATGAATGAAGCAACAAACTGACACATTCACATGAATGAAGCAACAAAGTGACAAATTCACATGAATGAAGCAACAAAGTGACACATGAATGAAGCAACAAAGTGACACATTCACATGAATGAAGCAACAAAGTGACACATGAATGAAGCAACAAAGTGACACATGCATGAAGCAACAGCCTACCTGACATGAGAGTGACACCGAGTAATACAAGTAGATATCCGAGGCACGAGGAGATGGCGAGAGACGGTGGCCTATGGTAGCCACAGGGACCCATGCCCTTCCATGCAGGGCAGAGCAGGCCGCGGGCCTCTAGGCTACCCTCCTGTCTGTAGACGGCAAAACACAAAATACCGTAAGCCATCAGCCATGGTTAACGTCACTAGAACATTCAACCAGGATCACACATTCCTTAAAGATTATCCAAAACTAGATCGCAAATCCAAGGTACACAACAAAGAACTATCGGGTGTGTAGTATCCGAATTTCACCCTCGCTTTTCTGTGTGCTAGCCTCGAACCTTCATAGCCTCGCTCGCTATCAGACAGAAGAGGAAAAGGGGGGGGGGATATAAAAAAAAAGGAAATGGGTCAATGGGCGGAGCTTAAAACGTCACTTGTCAAAGAAGGTGATAAACACGCCCACAAATAGTACCCTCGTGTGTGCATATCTTGCAAATCTGTACTCATTGCATTTCACATGCCGCGAAGAAAAGGGCGCAAAGCCGCTGACGATTGGCTAAAAACTACAGCTTTCACACCTCAACCTGTACGTTTTGGTTAGGCTGGGGTCGTGGTACGAATCTGTAGGCTGGGGTAGGGGAAGGTTGCAATTAGGCGAGGGCCGGGGTACGAAATCATGGGGGTAGGGGAAGGTTACAAGGTGGAAGCCTAGGCATTGAGGGTGTGAAGAAGAAATCTGAAACCCGGGCTTAAGAGAGGCTTCTTATCGCAATCGTTAGGACGAGAGCGAACTCTCTCTGCCAGCTCTCCCTGACATACGGACATCTCTCCCAGCCAGCCAGACATACGGACATCTCTCCCAGCCAGCCAGACATACGGACATCTCTCCCAGCCAGCCAGACATACGGACATCTCTCCCAGCCAGACATACGGACATCTCTCCCAGCCAGACATACGGACATCTCTCCCAGCCAGACATACGGACATCTCTCCCAGCCAGCCAGACATACGGACATCTCTCCCAGCCAGCCAGACATACGGACATCTCTCCCAGCCAGCCAGACATACGGACATCTCTCCCAGCCAGACATACGGACATCTCTCCCAGCCAGACATACGGACATCTCTCCCAGCCAGCCAGACATACGGACATCTCTCCCAGCCAGCCAGACATACGGACATCTCTCCCAGCCAGCCAGCCATACGGACATCTCTCCCAGCCAGACATACGGACATCTCTCCCAGCCAGACATACGGACATCTCTCCCAGCCAGCCAGACATACGGACATCTCTCCCAGCCAGCCAGACATACGGACATCTCTCCCAGCCAGCCAGACATACGGACATCTCTCCCAGCCAGACATACGGACATCTCTCCCAGCCAGACATACGGACATCTCTCCCAGCCAGCCAGACATACGGACATCTCTCCCAGCCAGCCAGACATACGGACATCTCTCCCAGCCAGACATACGGACATCTCTCCCAGCCAGACATACGGACATCTCTCCCAGCCAGACATACGGACATCTCTCCCAGCCAGCCAGACATACGGACATCTCTCCCAGCCAGCCAGACATACGGACATCTCTCCCAGCCAGCCAGACATACGGACATCTCTCCCAGCCAGCCAGACATACGGACATCTCTCCCAGCCAGCCAGACATACGGACATCTCTCCCAGCCAGCCAGACATACGGACATCTCTCCCAGCCAGCCAGACATACGGACATCTCTCCCAGCCAGACATACGGACATCTCTCCCAGCCAGCCAGACATACGGGCATCTCTCCCAGCCAGCCAGACATACGGACATCTCTCCCAGCCAGCCAGACATACGGGCATCTCTCCCAGCCAGCCAGACATACGGACATCTCTCCCAGCCAGCCAGACATACGGACATCTCTCCCAGCCAGACATTCGGACATCTCTCCCAGCCAGCCAGACATACGGACATCTCTCCCAGCCAGACATACGGACATCTCTCCCAGCCAGCCAGACATACGGACATCACTCCCAGCCAGCCAGACATACGAACATCTCTCCCAGCCAGCCATACGGACATCGCTCCCAGCCAGCCAGACATACGGACATCTCTCCCAGCCAGCCATACGGACATCTCTCCCAGCCAGACATACGGACATCTCTCCCAGCCAGCCAGACATACGGACATCTCTCCCAGCCAGCCATACGGACATCTCTCCCAGCCAGCCAGACATACGGACATCTCTCCCAGCCAGACATACGGACATCACTCCCAGCCAGCCAGACATACGGACATCTCTCCCAGCCAGCCAGACATACGGACATCTCTCCCAGCCAGACATACGGACATCTCTCCCAGCCAGCCAGACATACGGACATCTCTCCCAGCCAGCCAGACATACGGGCATCTCTCCCAGCCAGCCAGACATACGGACATCTCTCCCAGCCAGCCAGACATACGGGCATCTCTCCCAGCCAGCCAGACATACGGACATCTCTCCCAGCCAGCCAGACATACGGACATCTCTCCCAGCCAGACATTCGGACATCTCTCCCAGCCAGCCAGACATACGGACATCTCTCCCAGCCAGACATACGGACATCTCTCCCAGCCAGCCAGACATACGGACATCACTCCCAGCCAGCCAGACATACGAACATCTCTCCCAGCCAGCCATACGGACATCGCTCCCAGCCAGCCAGACATACGGACATCTCTCCCAGCCAGCCATACGGACATCTCTCCCAGCCAGACATACGGACATCTCTCCCAGCCAGCCAGACATACGGACATCTCTCCCAGCCAGCCAGACATACGGACATCTCTCCCAGCCAGCCAGACATACGGACATCTCTCCCAGCCAGACATACGGACATCTCTCCCAGCCAGCCAGACATACGGACATCTCTCGCAGCCAGACATACGGACATCTCTCCCAGCCAGACATACGGACATCTCTCCCAGCCAGCCATACGGACATCTCTCCCAGCCAGCCATACGGACATCTCTCCCAGCCAGCCAGACATACGGACATCTCTCCCAGCCAGCCAGACATACGGACATCTCTCCCAGCCAGCCAGACATACGGACATCTCTCCCAGCCAGCCAGACATACGGACATCTCTCGCAGCCAGACATACGGACATCTCTCCCAGCCAGACATACGGACATCTCTCCCAGCCAGCCATACGGACATCTCTCCCAGCCAGCCATACGGACATCTCTCCCAGCCAGCCAGACATACGGACATCTCTCCCAGCCAGCCAGACATACGGACATCTCTCCCAGCCAGCCCGACATACGGACATCTCTCCCAGCCAGACATACGGACATCTCTCCCAGCCAGCCAGACATACCGACATCTCTCCCAGCCAGCCAGACATACGGACATCTCTCCCAGCCAGACATACGGACATCTCTCCCAGCCAGCCAGACATAATGACATCTCTCCCAGCCAGACATACGGACATCTCTCCCAGCCAGCCAGACATACGGACATCTCTCCCAGCCAGCCAGACATACGGACATCTCTCCCAGCCAGCCAGCCATACGGACATCTCTCCCAGCCAGACATACGGACATCTCTCCCAGCCAGACATACGGACATCTCTCCCAGCCAGCCAGACATACGGACATCTCTCCCAGCCAGCCAGACATACGGACATCTCTCCCAGCCAGCCAGACATACGGACATCTCTCCCAGCCAGCCATACGGACATCTCTCCCAGCCAGCCAGACATACGGTCATCTCTCCCAGCCAGACATACGGACATCTCTCCCAGCCAGCCAGACATACGGACATCTCTCCCAGCCAGACATACGGACATCTCTCCCAGCCAGCCATACGGACATCTCTCCCAGCCAGCCATACGGACATCTCTCCCAGCCAGACATACGGACATCTCTCCCAGCCAGCCAGACATACGGACATCTCTCCCAGCCAGCCAGACATACGGACATCTCTCCCAGCCAGCCCGACATACGGACATCTCTCCCAGCCAGACATACGGACATCTCTCCCAGCCAGCCAGACATACCGACATCTCTCCCAGCCAGCCAGACATACGGACATCTCTCCCAGCCAGCCAGACATACGGACATCTCTCCCAGCCAGCCAGACATAATGACATCTCTCCCAGCCAGACATACGGACATCTCTCCCAGCCAGCCAGACATACGGACATCTCTCCCAGCCAGCCAGACATACGGACATCTCTCCCAGCCAGCCAGCCATACGGACATCTCTCCCAGCCAGACATACGGACATCTCTCCCAGCCAGACATACGGACATCTCTCCCAGCCAGCCAGACATACGGACATCTCTCCCAGCCAGCCAGACATACGGACATCTCTCCCAGCCAGCCAGACATACGGACATCTCTCCCAGCCAGCCATACGGACATCTCTCCCAGCCAGCCAGACATACGGTCATCTCTCCCAGCCAGACATACGGACATCTCTCCCAGCCAGCCATACGGACATCTCTCCCAGCCAGACATACGGACATCTCTCCCAGCCAGCCATACGGACATCTCTCCCAGCCAGACATACGGACATCTCTCCCAGCCAGACATACGGACATCTCTCCCAGCCAGACATACGGACATCTATCCCAGCCAGACAGCCATACGGACATCTCTCCCAGCCAGCCAGACATACGGACATCTCTCCCAGCCAGCCAGACATACGGACATCTCTCCCAGCCAGCCAGACATACGGACATCTCTCCCAGCCAGACATACGGACATCTCTCCCAGCCAGACATACGGACATCTCTCCCAGCCAGCCAGACATACGGACATCTCTCCCAGCCAGCCAGACATACGGACATCTCTCCCAGCCAGACATACGGACATCTCTCCCAGCCAGACATACGGACATCTCTCCCAGCCAGCCATACGGACATCTCTCCCAGCCAGCCATACGGACATCTCTCCCAGCCAGCCAGACATACGGACATCTCTCCCAGCCAGCCAGACATACGGACATCTCTCCCAGCCAGCCAGACATACGGACATCTCTCCCAGCCAGACATACGGACATCTCTCCCAGCCAGCCATACGGACATCTCTCCCAGCCAGCCAGCCATACGGACATCTCTCCCAGCCAGCCATACGGACATCTCTCCCAGCCAGACATACGGACATCTCTCCCAGCCA